AAGTGGATGGAATATTTTAATTTAATTTATTTCTTTCACTAGCAATGCATAATCACAAATGAAAGGTACCGTTTTAATTAAAAATATACATTAAACTATATTACCAAAATATATTTATACACAAAAATATTAACCTTAAGAAAATCTTAATTCCATAATTTAAAAGCTTTGATTAAAATTTGTTTAAATGTTTGCTTTAATTTAACTATTACAAAAATTAAACAGAAAATAAGTTGTTTGAATAAATAATTACACAGAAAGTTATAATTAAATATTATTGCTATAAATTAAATGAAGTAAAGCATGAACACCAAGTAAACAATCAAGCCCTTCTTTCATAAAAATATAACATTCAGAACATAAATTGATGACATATCACCTACGAGTAAAACATAATTAACTAAATAGTAAATCTAAAGGCAATTGATTCTACCATTAAATATATTCTCTTAAGAAAAACATATTATGCAATTAAGGATTCGAACTCGTGACTGTCAGAATGATCATTAGATGCAGTACTACAACTTAGAATCAATGCTAATACACGTCATTGGATCTGTCACTTATATCAATGTAATATTTTACATAGAACAATATTTGTGTCTATACTATGGTTTCAGAAGTCAAAACACATTTGCCACCACCAACATTCGAGTTCAGCCTCTTGCCGTTGTGAAAATCCAATGGCCACAATATGGCTGCCAAATACACAAAAAAAAAAACAAAAAAAAAAAAAAATAACAAATTTCATAATAGTTTACATTAAGCAAAGATTTTGGTGCTATGCTGTCTTAATAAACAAACTTTGGCACCACCAGAAGTATAAACCTCGCCCACATTGCGCTATCATACAAAATTTAAAAAAATAAATATTAAAGCAAGAGTATACCCTTAAGTAATTAGGCCACTGGGGCCTTCCATACGTTACATAATGAAAATGAGTCCTCTGTGATTGGCTGAAAATTCTATTATACAACAAAGTCTGTGTAACAGGTGGTATGTGTTTACTTTCGCACATTATGACTTCTACCTTGTACTATATATGATATAACTAATTATATATCATAAATATATGATATATAATAATTATTATTATATATCATATAATGATATATAATTAGTTATCATACTGCATATGATTGAAAATAGCCATATAAAATGTAAATGAAGAATTCAATAAACAATAAAATAATTTGCATGGATTAGAAAGCTTCTTTACATAGGGCCTAGGGGGCAGTCTGGACTATGTTAATTAAGAAGGCTTTGGCCTAGGGCTAGGAGTAGTTATTTTTAGTAGCCTAGGGTTGGCCATTCAAGCCACATATACTGCTATGAAAAAGAAAAATCATACTATTACTAGAAGTTGACCATCATGCTAATGTCATTAGTGCTGAAATAAAGCATCATATGATTTTGTTTTTAATTAGTTTTATAATTTTTTTACTTTTTACCGTAAATGAATAACAAAGTGAATCAGTCTTAATGTGTATTGAACCCACTTAAGTCAATCAAGAACACATTCGACATCATGATTTTGTGTTTTATAATAATAAATACTTATACCATTTTAAATTAAAAAATGTTTACACGACACAGCGCTATTGTCATACTTTTAAAGTTTTCAATACATCAATGTTACATTATTTTCTACAGGGCTTTTTTTAAAAATAAAAGTATGTATGCTACATTTTGCATTACTGACATGTATTCATCATCATATATAATATTAAATGTGATCTACTTATAGTAGTCTTAATTAGGAATGCATTGCACATTATAAATCTCAATAGTACTGATTTTTTTTTATTTACAAAAATATATTAAGAAAATGTATACTGTACATTATTTAATATTTGTAGTAGGTCTGTGCTGTGTGATTCATATTTTGATAGAATGTATTTACTGTCCCACACTGCTTGTTTGTCCAGGCATAGTTTTATGGTATTCTGTCACTCCATACAGTTGACACCAAAGGCCATGTCATTTTAATAATAATAATAATAATAATAATATATAGGCTTTTATATAGCGCTCTATACAACTAAGTCTCTGAGCGCTTTCCCACATTATTAGTCATTGGAACGATGCCTATGGGGGAAATTCCATAGTTTGCGGCATGAAATATATCAGCGCATTTTTGCACTCGAATCTCTTCAGGTTTCCCACTTATAATCCTGAATGGAGAGAAGCAATGCCGATAAAGTGACTTGCTCAAAGACACAAGCGAATACATAGCGAGGAATTGAAAGCCCGACGTCGAGGTTGGGAAACCAAACTGTTCCCGCTGTGCCAAACCATTACAACCCGACCTGCTGACACAATTGGCCTTTTGCTACACACCAGCATATACTGTATTTACATTGATGATAAAATTTGTTCTTCAGAATAAATTATTTTTAGTCCAATTTTAAACATGGAAACTGACTCTTGATTGAAGATAAATTACGTAAACCTTTCACACCATACAGCTGCAGCATTTCCAACCTATGAAAAAGAATTCAAATTAAGAATTAGGAAATAAATACAAAATATTTACAAAAATAAATTCAGTCGATTAAACAGGAGGGAGCCACTGTGGGTGCTCTGAGCTGTGGAAATCTCATTCTATTCCCATCGATGCTCTCCTTCTGTTTCAGCTAAAGGACTGAAATGCAAGTTACGATAGTGCACCATCTTTTGGATGAGACATTAAGCTGTTGGTCCCGTAAGATGGCCCATAATAATAATAATAATAAAAATAATAATAATAATAATAACAATAATAATAATATCAGCTAGAAAAAAAAAATCTAACAAAAACAGACAGAATCATTTAAGAATGAAGTTGTTTAACATACCTTTTGCAATGATGAAGTAATTTCAGAACACTTTTCTCTGTTATATCTTGGCAAAAATTGAGTTTTAAAATTTGTAGGCTCTTCCCACAATAACTTGCCAAAGATGAAACGCTGTAAAAAAATAACATGTACACTATAAATTGTCATAATAACACAAAGATTTGAGGTTTGTGAGCTTGGGTGCAATAACAAAGTCACACTAAAAAATCAGACAAAGATTATACAAATACTGTATATCACAAAACATTTACTGTTTTCCAGTTTGCTGCATCTTAAGCCGAAGGAAAAATAGTTTCGGTTGATGGACGTTGGCATGATTCCATGGAAACGGCAATGCAGTGTACACTCACTGTACTTAAAAGGGTACTACTGTTGCAGGAAATTAATTAAATACAAATGAACAAACAAACAACGAACCTTTTATAGTTGACTGATGTTGAACTGAGGTCCAGGGAAGAAAGCTGATAGCAACTTTTGGCTAATGTGTATACTCCGTGATTAGTTATCTTTTTGCAGCCTGATACGTCAAGTATTCTGTAATGCAGAAATTGGTGTAAAAGGAGAGGAGGATCCAATGTATTTTTTTATTTTAAATATATTTTATTTTATATATATTTTTGTTATAAATATTTATATATTTCATTCATTGACTGCGGAGTGAGGCACAAGACCCAAATAGTAAACTGTACACACTATCAAATTTTATGTGAAAATATGTGTGATGTGCCCATATATGGGCATGATGTGCCCATATATATGGGCTTAATGATGTAATATTATATCCAAATATGTGCATGTCACATTTATTTGTCAGGATAAAGATAGTGTGGGCAGAGTCACGGTTATTGTATTATAATTATAATAATACAATGTTGTGAGGACAGATTCTGTCAATTGACAGGATCTGATTCAAAGACCCTGAGACGGGAGGGCAAGCATTAAGCCAAAGTTCCACTTTTAAAATTTTCTCTTGAAATATATAACTATATCAGAAATTTCTATTGTATTACAACTTGAAATTAAAAAGTAAAATTAAAAACAATAAAAATGCTACTCAAGTTAAAATACTTATATGTATACCAATTAAAATTACTGGTACAGGTAAATCAAACCAAGTTGAAATACTAGTAGTTATACAATTCTAAATACCAAGTATATTTATTAAAAATAATAGACTAAAATCAAACTAGCTGAGTGTTTATGAAGTATTAACATACTTGCAATCTTACCCGATTGTTGGAAGGTATGTTGCAAACTCCACTAAAGATGCATCTGTCAAATGACCGCAGTTTGCCAATGAGACACTCTTCAGTTTCTTACAACATCTAACTATTTTACGTACAGTTGTATCATGTATCTGTATTAAACAAATTAAATACTGCTATAATAATACAATAATAATAATAATAACTTATTAATTCCATATAATAATACACCTACATGAATATTTCAAATGCTTTAATTTATACTATAAATTATCATTATTTCATTTCCCAAGTGTTTTCATGTCAGGGATTTAAATCCAACCCTGTCAGCTTCTCATGTGAAGCCACTATATCTCTGTCCCAATGGTACACATGGGTCACTGGATCAAATGCCAGTGCTGATGGTAAATGTCAAATGTCAATGCAGTATAATAACTAAGCAAGATTATGTAATATGGCTCATAGGAACTTATACAGTATTTGATCCAATAACCTGGGAATTAATAGTATGAAGTCCTTGAATAAATACACTACATAATCATATAATTATAATACTCACCTATTATATTACAATCAATATTTCTAATTTTAGTATTTACTAAATATATTATTGATATTTATATTATTATCATGATTATTTAAAATATTATATGATTTAAAGATAACACAAAATCAATATCTAGGATAAACGTTTTGGCAATATTTTTGTTGTTGCGAAGGAAGAGCCCAAAATACTTGTGTTTGACAAAAGCACTTTATTTTACGTTACCTGTTTGCATCCTCTCATATCCAAGTGTTGAACGTGTTCCAGATGGGAAACCATAGTTAACATATGGTCATCTGTCATCTAAAACGAAGCAACCACATCAGGACGTCACAAAATGCATTATTACAACGAATGAAATTACTAATTAAAAAGCTGGTTCGTATTAACACTTATACCATGGAAACCTATACCACTTAAGCCAGGCACTTACTGCTTCGTAGGTTGTACAACCGTGGTATGATGAATCAAACTCGGCTGTTCTGTGGCAAAACTAAGTAAACAGAGTTTGCATGTTACAATATGGCAATAAATTGTCGTACCCTTTTGAAATTTTGCAGGAGTATATATCTATAGACATTATGATCATATAAAATATTTTAATTATTATTATTATTATTATTGTATACTTATATAGCGCATATCAAACTTCTCTATGCGCTGAACATTATTACCCCGGATCACCGTTGGTTTATTACAAAGTTAATAATGTTATCGGCTGAACTCTGCTCCCTCTGATTGCTAGACGGTGCGACCTGTTCGTTGATTGTTGGTGGCAGTCTGAGCTGATCCTCATTAAAACTGATCCATTGCGCGTGTGTTGTGGCCTCCATAGAATCGCGTCGGCCGACGACCACCAGACGCAGTGAATGCTCGGCTTTTAGTCTTCGGCTACATCTTCATTTCAATTCCAATGCAAATTTTCAATTCATACAATATTCTGTACTAGTGCATGGTTTGTTTGATTTGAATCGATGGAGGCCATTTCTTGTGTACCTCATGATGGTGCTGAAGTGCAGACAATGTTTAATTTACATACATACCTTGTAACATTGCCCAACATTCAAAGCTTGGAGATTTTTACAGACTTTGCCAATTTGTGAAATTACTGCAGGTGAAATGTTGAAGCAACCAAAAACTTCTAGAACACGAAGACTGAAAAAGTAAATTAAATAAAGATATTTTATATTCTTGAAGTCTTTAAATTAACTTCTCTTTGATTACAGTAATTAATAATGTTCATTCAGATATTATCACCATAATCATTCTCATCCTCATGAAGATTAATATTATGACTACTCTCATCAAGTGTCAGCAAAGGCTTCGCCATCATCATTATCAACATCATATGGTTTAATTTTCAATAAATCATCGTTCTCATTGAGTTCACCATAGCCAATGTCATCACCATCATAATCAACATCATCATCTCTATTATCAGCATTACCATTATTCTACAATATTACAATCATCATTACAGTATTTGTATGTTGGGCCAGGGAGTTGTTATAGTTGGGCCTACCTTTTGCAGTGCTTTTTTAAAATCATGTTAATAGAATCATCTGTTACAGCTTGGCAACCATTCAGGCACAGCATCCCCAACCTGACAAATTAATATAATACAAAACATATTTATTGGTATTATGTTTGTTATTGTTTCAAGCTAAAAAATTCCTCTTATGTGTTTGGCTTCTAAGTTAACAATTACTTTGCCAACGAACACAATTAAAAAAAAATCACAATAAACAGGATTTTCAATCTGTTCAGATGGTGGCCATTTTGGTTTTCAAAATGTCCATCACCATCAGTCTTGGCATTAATTGTCATATGATTCAAATTATGTTTTGTTTAAATATCATGAAATGGAATGATCACAAAACAATCCCTACATTATTTACATACATTTCATTAATATAACAATGATTTGTAATCCAAGAGGGAGTATACCACAACTCAATAGCCAAAGCGACTCCTGATTGAAACGGCATATTCAAATTAAAAATTTAAACACCAAGTAATTATACTTGGTGACCTGTCCTACAATAACATTTTTTCCCACAGGGCTGATCATATACAGATGAAAACAATAACCACTATAAATGATCGAAAACACAGTGATAGTAAATTGAAGGATTTTCTAAATTATATTAATAAAGTTTAAATGTTTATGTTTTGTGAATATTGAAACTCAATAAATATAGGCCGAAATTTTACATGAGGAAATTAATAACATACATTTGAGATTTCAATAATCGATAAAAATAGTCATTGTATATAAATACCTAGATTCACCAAATGCAAATAATACGTGTCCAATTTTAAGAAATATTAGAGCAGTAGAAGATCCTAACCCATGAGGACCAATCAAAATTGAGCTGAAAAATTGGTGATGTAGATACTTGACTCTGTATTCATATTTTCTTCTTAAAGATGAATTAAATATTTATGGTTAAGTATATTTTCAATGTTTGTTTTATTACTACTACAGGTACTCAAATATTTTGATGTTTCTATACCAAACTATAATTAATTTCTTAATTTTTGTGTAGAAATTAGTGTGATAATATTTTGACTTTGGTTCACTATATTTTTGTATGATGTGTGTTACTAATATAAGGCTGCAGTTTAATGTAGGGTTAAGTTATATAATTTTACTATTACTAGTAGGGTTAAGTTTTATATTTTTAATATTACTAGTAGGGTTAAGTTTTATATTTTTAATATTACTATCATATTCAATTATTATATTATGAACTGTCTAGACACACACACAGCTGTTTAAATAAAATGTTTTTTATTTATTTTATTTATTTAATAAACTTCTCACAAATGCAAAAATACAAAAATGAAGGCGACGTGCCAATAGGTGATGAACACCTCTACAAGTGCTCGCTTCTTACAATATAAATACAAAAATAGAAATCTGGATATAAAAAAATGACAGCACAAACATGAAGACAATAAAGAAATAAGAAAAATTGTAAAAAGAATGAGAGAAACAAGAATTGTCACAGTAAGTATAAAAATCATTTAAATAGAAATTTCCAAGGTAAATCTCAAACACAGAAATATGCAGAATATAAAAAGAAAATGATAAAAATAAAAAAAGACAAAAAAAAAAAAGAGAATAAATCAATAAGGCAAAATTTAAAAAAATAAAGTATGATAATATAGCATATGAAAAATATGATAAAAGCTCTTGTGTATTCAACAACCACCTGTAATCACATGGGAATTTGGCAGTAATGACAAATTACTTCCGATGACAATTCAAACAAATGAAGGACTTCCAATGAAAGTAGTAATAAAGTGGGTCCCTCAAAACCTTATGTGACATCGTATGTAATTTCAATGAGTCTACTAATCCAGTTAAGCTAAATTCTGAAATCTCTATTTTATGTATTGTTTGTTTGTTTATTTCTTTCAACAATATTTTGAGAGGGTGGTCATCTTTAAATACATACAAAAAAACAAAGACAACATAAAGTGTAAACAAACTAAAATAAAACTATGAAATTAATTAGAATACAAAAAACCCCACTTCCTAAGCCTCATAATAAATCTTAGCCTATGTCATCTATGAGCATCTTGTGTGTGTATTTGTCTTGTAAAAGGATTGCCGCTTAGAAAAATGATTAAGTTTACTGTTTGGCATATCCTTGGATTATGTGCCCAAATTAAGAGAAAATCACATGCCTGAAGAGGAAGGTATACTATGGTTTGTCCAAAACCCTCCTTTTAGAGTGAACCCCTCTGTTAAACCAACCATCCCCTCCCATTGCATTAACAATCACACAAATACAACTATGAAATACTGTACAAAAAAATTACAAAATTTTAAATAATAATCAGCCATTCACAAAAAATATGCAATTATATTTACCAGTACTTAATTGCAAATTGCTGTATTCTAGTTTTATCATGCCACTGCGTGCAAGTTTTTAAAATTCACATTTTCTGAGTTCTGTTTTTTTAATTATGTACAATTTCTAATTGGTTTTGATGTAGTTTTGAAAACTTTTATTTATGTGGAATTTTAATTATATGCAATTCAATATCTGTACTTTAGATGTATTTGTATATCATATTTTAAAGTCAATTTTCAGATTTTAAATATTCATTAATTCATTGGTCATTTTTTAAAGTGAAATTCATGACCACATTTGAAATGGGCTGGACTCAGGCCTAATGAGAAATCCTGATGCTCATTAACTTTTTAGTTTTCTTGTTCTCAAACCATTTTTTGTATTGTTTGTGCATGTTGAGTGTCGAATAAGTTCAATCAATCAATCAATAATGATTACTATTTTAAAATATGATACTTTATTTTTTAAAATTTACTATTTTGGAGGAAATACTGTACAACAAAAACAGATGCATGTAAATTATCTTTTAGTAGAGTGCTATTGCTATTAATTCTACATACATTTGAATACTTTCAGCGATAGAAATGAGGCCATTATTTGTGACACTGCACCAGCTAACGTCCAGGCTTGTGAGTCCTCGGCAGCGAGATGCATGAAGGAGTATCGAGTCACCAATCAAATCCCCTCCAGTTGAACCACTTACATTCAGCTCCTAGGAATAATAAAAATCATTAACTCTTAAAATACAGTGATATACAATGATCTAAATAAATTGTCCAAACAGAACAAAGTTGGTAGAAATTGAAACCATGAAAGTCAGCAAACAACTGTATTAAGGGTAGGCCTACAAGTTCACTGGCAGATTTTAAATTGGCAAATACAGTGGCATTGTCAAATGTTTGTGAGTTTATGGTTATTTGAGAAGCCAAAAACTATGTCATTCTCCAATTCTGCTGACCACTCTCTGTTTGAAACAAATAGCTTTACGTGTAAATTGTTTTTATAAAAGTATTATTTTATGAAACTGGAATTTTATTGGGTTCGGTGTCTGTCTGTTTATGTTACATGTTCAACTACAGTGTTGATTTTACCGAACTAAACTATTTCAAGCATCCTACATTTATATTCATCGAAGTAATACTTTAACGTTTATAAATTCCATCTCTTAATCCTTTGATGTGAAAGAAAAAAAGAAATAATTTATTGATAAATTTCAAATAATTTCCAGATGTTAGGAAATAACTAACTCTGAAGCAATTATCCGATAGTAGCAAAACATATTAATGTGACCTTTTTCACAATGCTTTTATAATGAGAACAGATCTACAGATCTAAAAACAAGCATATTTTCATCCATTAATGAAGTCAAATAAACACACATTCCTTAATGACATGAACACAGCTGTCCAAATTGACTACACAATAATTTGGACAAATTCCAATCTAATGTGCCAAGCCTCAATACATCTCGCTAGTGATATCCTATTATGTAATATAGCAAAAATTCTACAAAATTATCATATGAAATATAATATCTATTCTACATTCTGCAACTAAATCAGATCTAGATTTAGATCTAGATTTTTGTAAGGACAATAAAAACAAAGGGAGTAAAACAAATGAAAGAATAATTCTTGATAATATTGAATTTACTTGTTAACTAGAATTTATATAGTGACCTAAAGTATGGAGGTATCAAATTACAGTGCACCCTCCACTAAGAGACCTCTAATTCCGAGACCTCTCTAATTCGAGACCACTCTATTCAAAGAACCAAATAACAATCTTCAATAAACACAAAGCTATCACTCTAATTTGATACCGAACCCCAAGGCCACTTTAAATTTTCAGGTCCCGAAGGTGGTCTTTAGAGGTCAAACTGTATTAACATGATAACTTTGGTGACCCGACATTCAAATGTTTCAAATGTTAAGAATAAGGAGCTTTCGGTTTGTTTCGATAAATGCACTCATGACTATATTGTTTTTTTGGTTTTTTTTACCTTCAGTGATTTTGAACAAGCTCTAAACATCGTTCGCAGACCCCCTTCTGACACTTTCATGCCATTGCACTGGAGAAAGGAAATGGTTGTTGGGTGCTTTTTGCCAATTTGCATTAACCAGTCATCAGTTAAATCTTTCTTCTGTAACATGATGCTTTTCCCTGCAAAATATATTAAAAAGATAGACTGATGATACTATTGCGACTGATGATGATGACCCTTTAATGTTGTCGAACAAGAATAGGTTAGCTGAAGTTTTTTGGGTCACATTATCTACTAATGTAAGTGAACAAAATTTAAACCCAACCTAAGACTTACCACAAAACTCACACAGGAGTATATAACAGAAGAAAACATGAGCTGCTTAAAAGACATAGACAAATTTAGGACTCTTATATGCAGATAAAACAGAAGAACTATTTCTACTTTGAAATAATATAATAAAATAATTTAGCGCCTTGAGCACTACTGCAGTGGATTTGTGTGCTTTATAAACCTTATTATTATTAATATTATTATTATTATTATAAACCCCATACATGATTAACAAAATACTTACAAAGGAGTTCGTCATTTGCAATCCGGTGAAAAGTTTGACAGACTTGTGCAGTCACAGCCAGACTCGAAGGAGACAAGTAGGAGAAAATGTGAAACAGTAGTTCATCGGGTAACAGTTGCCAAAGCGACAAGCCTTCACCCCCTCTTGGACTCTGGAATGAAGTGAAATATATTTTGCTTGTTCCATATAAATTAATTTAACCTGTCTCTTTAAAAAATTTGCATCAGAGCACACTTAATAACGTATTGACATACTTATCTTATATTTACATTATGCTACTTTATTGTTTATATAACAGAATACTTACATCAGATAAAAGTTGCAAAGTAAGGGGAAGGGCACACTTCTGTTGAATGTTTGTACCATTGCTTTCTGCAAAGAATAAAGAAGTTGAATTAACTGGGGCAGGTGCAAATGGTGCAATCGCACCCCCTAAATTGCATGAAGAAAACT